GGGAGTGGGGTGAGCATTGTTTGAACCTTACTCTCATCAGATTTGGCTCAAGAAGGGAATAACATCATCAGTTAGGCATAGAAATCTAACTTGCCATGTAGGCAGTAGGAGGGAAAAGGGGAAAGAAAAGGGAGGGGGGATAGAAGTGAGGGAAGAAGCAGTAAGGCTAAAGGGGAAGAAAAGGGAAAGGGAGGGAGGGACTGAGGGAGGTAGTGGTCAAAAGCAAAACACTAGTGAGTGATTTTTACTTACAACTTCATTAATGTGAAAATATGTTTAATAGGAATGTCAGGGTATTGCATATATCAGATGGTGCGCTGTCTTGGGGAGGGTGGTAGGGAGGAAGGGGGAGAAAAATTTTAAACTCAAAAGCATATGGAAGTGATTGTTGATAAATCAAAATAAATTAATAAAATGAACAAAAACAAAACAAAAAACCAAAACCAAACCAAAATAGAGCCCATTATCTTCTCTTTCCCCCACCCCCAACCCTTTCCTCTTCCCAAATTTCCTATTATTATTGAGGGCACAATCTTCCCAGTCACTTGGACTCCCAATCTGATATCATCCTTGACTTCTTACCCATATTCCTCCCACATATTCAAATGTTGTCCAATAATTTTTTTTTCCCTTTCACAATGCCTCTCCTATATATGCCCTTCTCCCCCCTCAGGCAGCCACAATTCTAGTTCAGCCCTTTAAATATCTCTCACCTAGAAAATTGCAATAGCCTTCTAATTTGTTTCCTTAATTCAAATCTCTTCCTATCTCATCCCTTTCAATCTATTCTCCCTTCAATTGCTAAAGTGATTTTTCCTAAAGCACAAGTCATGCCATATTCCATCCCTGACCCACTCCTAAGCAATGTCTAGTGACTCTCTATCACCTCTAGTAACAAATAAAAAAAATCCTCCATTTTGCATTTAAAGACTTTTGCAACTTGGCTCCTTCCTACCTTTCTAGTCTTCTTACACTTTACTTCCTTCTGCTCTACAGTCCAATGACACCAGTCTACTCAGTGGTTATGTTTGTTTGTTTGTTTTAATGAGGCAATCCGGGTTAAGTGACTTGCCCAGGGTCACACAGCTAGTAAGTGTCAAGTGTCTGAGGCCAGATTTGAACTCAAATCTTCCTGACTCCAAGGCCGAAGCTCTATCCACTGCGCCACCTAGCTGCCCCTACTCAGTGTTTCTTACACAACGTATTTCATCTCCTAACTGAATTGGCACTGGCTGTCCCCTGTGCCTATTCCTCACATTTAATGCCTAGCTTCTCAGGCTTCCTGCAAGACTCAGTTCAAAATCCACCTTCTTCAGGAGGCCTTTTCTGGATCTCCTTCCCCCACCTCCTTACCCCAAACTGTTATTGACTTGAGAGAACTCCCATTTACACTGCATATGTTTTGTATGCTCATAGCTATTTGCATACAATAGAATAAAAGGTCTTTGAGGGGAAGGACTATGTTTTTTGCTTTTCTTTATATCTCTTAGCACACTTAATAAGTGATCATTGACTGACTAACTGACTTCTTATCTAGCAGGTATTATGGTGCTGGACCTGGCCAAAAGAATTGAAAATTATGGTCTTGCCTATAGTCACATAGTATTAGAGGTGGGATTCAGACCCAGTTCTTTGCTGATTCCAAGTAAGATATGCCTTCCGCTCCAACAGTCTGTCTCTAGAATTACTTGTAGTACTAGCTGTTACAGCAGAAAGAGTAATGAATTCGGACTCACTGGACTTAAGCTCATAGCTTAACTCTAAAACTTATTACCTGCAAAATGCTGGCAAGTAATCATCTTCTTAAGCCTCGGTTTCCTCAACTGGAAAATGAGGGGCTTGGACCTCTGGTGCCCCCTTTTGCTCTAAACCTATGATCCTATGATTGGTGCTTCAGAGGATTTTTGTAGTGATAAAATGAGAGAATGTGCAAGAAAGCACCTTATAAGCAATAAAGTATGATTAAGATTTCTTCTTTCCTTCCAGGATCAACTCAGATGCCACCTTACCCATAAAGCCTTCCTAGATTCCCTTAGCTGATGGCCTCTCCCCCTCCAAATTCTCACAGCACTTTGTCTAGACTATTCTTTTGCATTCACCATATTCTGTTCTGTAAGACAGTTATTCCTTGTGCCCTATTATACTGTAAGCTGCTTGAGGGCAAGGTTTGTGCATTATTTCTTCTTTACATCCTCAGCACCTAATACAATGCCTTGCAGTCAATAGGCACAAATAAATGTTTGTCAAATTAAATTCTAAGATTAGTAGTAGTAGTAGTAGTAATGGTAGTAGTGGTAGTAGTAGTAGTAGTATATATGTATGTATGTATGTACTCCAAGTGGCTTGTAACATTTATGCTTTTAATACAACAATGAATACGGACATATCTTATATCACTTTAGATGCAGCATGGTAATATAGAATGAGTATGGGATCTGGAGTCAGAGTCTGAATACTGGCTCTCCCACTTAAAACTTGTGACTTTGGGCATAATATTTCCTTTCTCTAGGTCTCAGTTCCCCAAAACTGAGGCAAAGCACAGGAGTTGGATAAGATGATCTCTCAGACTCCTTTCAGCATTAGGATCAATGACTTCATATTGCCCTGATCAATGACATTTTGAAATATTATCATTGACATATTTCAACCAAACTCCATGTACTGTGAAGCTCCATTCTAACTAGATCATTGCCCACCATGCAACACAAATGGCTGGCAACAATATAAAGTAGTCCTCGAGACTTGACAGGGTTAATACCAACGAGTGTTAGTCTGTCAGTTATCGTGCTGCACACTTGAATGTTGTATGGAATTATTGGTCCCCCTATTATGTTGTTTCATCTATCATTGTGTTTTCGTGAGACATGCCAATCCTATTGTCTCTGGCATGAAGCATTATTTATTTTATGGAGAAATCACTGTATATCTCTTTTGGAAAACTGGGTATGTTCTTTCTAAAAATTCTTTAAATGCTTAGAAGCAAAAAAAGGATTTATCCCCTTTAAAAGAATAGAAGAAAGACTATGTCAGGGGTTAAGTTGTAAATTTCAAGAAAGTCTACAGAGTTTAAGAAAGAAATCATCTATGTACTAATTTCAATTAGTCCAAGTTAGTTGCTGGCTTTAAAAGATGGGAAAAGTAAAAAGGTCTTCTGATTGAGAAAAGACAGGCATGGAGAAGTTGAAGGGAAATGTGGCAAGGTTGCTTGTAGGCAACCATAACCTATTTTCTTTTCTGTTCCTGCTCAGGAATAGGAACAATTCAAGAGCTAGTTTTTACCTTTCATAGAGAGCTAGAGAGCAAGAGCTGATTGGGGGCATAGGGGCATAAAGCCCTTCTTGGGATTAAAAGAAAGGAGCCAGAGAGAAAGTTCTTTTGCTAAAGCAAGGAAAACTTACATTATTATTACTTAAATTATCTTTTTGATAATCAGAGTCTACCAGCAGCCACAGAGCCTTGAGGTCAGCTGTGCTTCTCTCTGGCTCTCAGTACACGCCTGCCAACCATTGTCTGCCCACAGCAATTACCTTCTCTCCTAAGATGGTCCTAACCCAGCGATGCCATGTACGTGGACTTGTTCTTTCATGGGCAGTGGGGCACTGCTCCTGGCTTGCCTTACTGGTATGTATTTCTTGCTCTCTTCCTCCCATCTGCTTGGAATCTTGGGATGCTTATATCCTTGGCCTCTTTACTCAGAATTCATTGCCTTCCTGTTTCATCTGAACCATGAGGCACTAATCCTGATCTGCTTACTCAGAATGAAATTTTTTCCCTTTCCCTTCCCAGATAAAGAGAGTTCACAGATCTCACAATAGAGCCCATGATAGTCCTCCAGAGCCATGATATCATTCTATCTAACTTGGCTTTTTGCCTGGCCCCTCCACTTTCTGGCAACCCATAATCCAGTGCTGGATGTTTGGGATGATTGAACTCATCACAAGTGACAAGAAGAATTCAAGGTTTCTCTGTAAAAGGGTGCAGCAGCAATTAGGTGGTTCATTAACCTATAAGGCTCTGGCACTACTGAGCTAGGGAAAAGGGACTTCCACCAGTCATTTCACATTGCATTCTAGCCCTAGGCTTGCAAAAACATCTTCGTTTCAGTGTCCTCAGATGTGCTTGCCACTATCCACACTCAGACTCTCTCTTTGTTTTCTAAAATGAGGAGGTTGGACTCAATGGCCTCTGAGACCCCTGCCAGTTTTAGTTCTATGATCTCATGCTCCTTTCTATGACCTGGACCCTCTGCCCTATTGACCTCGGGGCCACCAGTTATTCCTGAGTCAGGGTAAGCCTGACTGAATTTTTATTTTTTGAGTTGCCAAATGGATCATACTTAAATTATTTCAATTCTAACTTTCTGGGACTCAGTGGTTAAGGTGACAGCAGTGAGTCTTTGATCGGAGCACATGACAAGATAAAACCAAATGTCTTCTCCCCTGTGGAATGGAAGAAGCTGCAGGTTCTACTAAGCTTACAGAGTAGGAAATCAGAGCAGATTCCATGTGCCTGCTTTACCTCCTCCCTGCTCTCTGGTTGGCAGTGGGCACCTGGGCACTGGTCTGGCAATTTTCAGAAGCTGCTGAGTGAGTCATTTTTTTTTCCTGTTTTTCCTGTGGGCACTGAAGAGTAGAGAGGGAGTGGAGATTGGTGCTAGTAGGCTCTCAGTGTCCTTGGCTCAGACAGATTTTCTCATTGCTTCGGCAGGCTCAGCCTAAGGCAAAATTACTGATTGGCAAACTTTTTCTTCACTGTCCCTCCACCTCTTCTCTGATAATAATCCCTTAGAAGTGGGAGCACTTTATTACTTTCTTCGCACTTTCATATGCCTTTTCTTAATGGCTTTGTTGTTGAGTTGTTTCAGTCGCATCTGACTGTCCTGACCCCATTTTGGGTTTTCTTAGCAAAGTTACTAGAGTGGTTTGCCATTTCCTTCTCCAGCTCATTTTACAGATAAGGAAACTGAGGCACACAGGGTTAAGTGAGTTGCCCAGGGTCACACAGTCAGTAAGTGTGTGAGGCTGGATTTGAACTCAGGCCCTTGAGACTTGAGGTCTGGTGCTCTATTTACTATTTACCTGAAAGTGGAGGGGGGAGTGGTATTTGTGTCTTGATCTGGAGTTAGAAGACTTCAAAATCCAACTCTGCTGCTTACATCCAGTGGGACTGTACGTAAGTCACTGTGTTTCTGGGTCTTAGCTTCATCATCTGGGAAATGAGAGGTTTTGGTAAAATGTTCTCTAACATTCTTTCAGATTCTAAATCTCAGGACTCCTCATTTTAAAGATGAAAACCAAAGTAACTTGGCTGCCTTGGATTGGAAAACAGAAGACAGATTTCTAATCCTACCTCCACCCAAATTTTTAACCTTTTCCTTAAATGCTCTGTCCACTGTACCATACTTCCTCTTTACCCTTTTAACAGTTCCTCTTTCTACTCCCTCATCCTTGTGTAGAGGAGAACCAGTCCTCTTTAAGTTCCTGTGGTTCCCCAACAAGGTGCCCCAATGAACCTGCCTTCACTTGGAGCACTTGAAGTACAGTGTTGTTTTCCCTCTCTTTGCTCCTGTCTCTCTCTCTGAATTTACCTATTTTTTGATTAATTAGTTCAGAGTGCTGCTCTCCCTTATTAAGGAGTTAGTTAGTTATATGAAAAACTGTTATATAGAATTAATAGTAAAGTACTAATGAACAATGGTGGGTTGATATTCTTCAAGATATTAGTATTTTAACAAAGGACCCCTAGAAATGAAGAACCTTAATGCAAAGGAATGCCTTTAAAATAGGACTTCAAAGTCCATGGCAGGCTCATTCAACTAATCTTTTTTAGTTTAAATCCACATTTAATAAGTGAAAGGTACTATGTTGGGGTTCTGGGAATCTAAAGACAAACTTTGAGTCGTCTGCACTGATGGAGCTTAGGTAACGTCTCCTGGGATACACACATACACACATGCCTACATGCACACACACAGACCTTTTCACCATCTGACTCATATCATACTTTAGTGTCATGGCAGCAATCCCTCTGTCTGTGGCTGATGGGTCCTGTAGTTAAATTAAATTTTAGGTGAACTTCAATGTAAAACCTTATTTTGTTGAGCAGTAATAAGAGATGCCGCTCTTCCTGGTGTGGCATTTCCCAGGTTAGGGTCGTGCAGAGCTGATTTTCTTTCTGATTTCTGTGGGAGGTATTAGAACCAAAATATTTTAGTGGAGGTGAGGTGGGTAGGGGGAGGCATGGTGTTGGGAAGAGAAAAGAGAGAAAGAGAAAGAATGGGATTCTGTAGATCTTATGTAATCCTAAACCATACTTCTCTAGTTCTTATAGTTTTGTCTTCAACTTCTGGTAGTTTCATATTTGGGTTTCCTCTCCTGGCTCTACACTAGTTATTCAATGCTATATTGGTCTGAATATAGGCTATCCCTGATGCATCTCTAACACGAGATTTCTTTGAAAGGAAACAAATTTATAGGTACTCGCTGAGAAAAAATTAAATGCTCCAGTTTTATATTAGTCATATTTAGGGGAGAAAGTGTTATTGGGACCAATACTGTATTCCTGTAATTCTCACTGGATCTGCCATTTTCCCCTACTAATTCCATAGCATTGAAGTTATATTATTTTAAGTCATTGTGTGCTTTCTGTATTTCATTTCTTTGCTTGTTTATTCTTTCTCTCCCTTTAGAATGTTAACTCATTGAGGGCTAGAATAGTTTCTATTGCCTTTATTCTCCACTATTGGCATACAGTACTACAAACATAATGTAGTTAGAGCTGAGGAAGATATCTTAGAGATCATCTGGTCAGACCCTGACATTTTACAGATATGGAAACTGAGGCTTACAGAGGTTTAGTCATTTGTTTAAGGGTCATATCTGAGCCCAGTTTCTCTGACCCCAGATCTATTTTCCATTACACTCCATAATTTGTGAATGAAGGAGTAGATAGAAGAAGGAAAAATTGGGTTTATAAAAAGGGAGGGGTTTGGAAAGATATTTCAATGTTGATGGGGATTTGTGGCCAGAAAATACTAAAGACCCGGCATCAAGAGCCTTAACTCAAATCTCAGCTTCCATTTGGATCCCTCACTAACTGCATGGTCTTTGGCCAGGTCCCTTTAACTTCTGAGACTCCACATACTCTACTTGGCAGAATGCAGAGAGCCCTTGTTTACCAGCCTCATGGGCATTTAATAAGCACCGAGAAGCTAATATCTGCAAAGTGCTTTTGAGCTTCTCCAAGAGGGGCTTTGGGTGTGATTGCTATTTTGTTCAGCCTTGTGCACCAACAGTAGAATGGCCTACCTAGTGATGTTGCTGCTGACCAAGAAAGAGAAACAGAGAGAAGAGCAGCTTTGGTTCCTCATGCCAGACAGAGCATATGGAAGAAGAGTTAAACAAGTGTTCTCTTGGTTTCAAAAAGTAAGTATTTTTTTAAAAAAGAAACCACACAAACAGAACTTTGGTATTCTGTTTCTAATTGTGTTTCTAATTGTGTTTCAGAATTGTTCCTTGGGATGACCTCTTTTGCATCTGTGCACTCTGTTTATTTGGCTGATTACCTGGAGTTGGGTTAAATGAATTCCAATTTACAACCAAGATGTTGAGCTGATAGTAACTTCTTTTGGGGTATCCATTTTCAATAAATGAAAAGAAGCAATTACATGAAGAAGGAAGCTTGTGTTTTTGACAGATTACTCTGCACCACAGATACATGCTCTTTTAGACGACCGAAGCACTTGAAAGCATCAATGAAGAACTTGTCTAGGAAGTGAATTTGCACTCAGACTACAACCCATTTTCTAAATCCCAGCTCTGTCCTCAGGTGTTTTATGCCCACGTTTAATCATTTCCAGGAAGGAAGAATTAGATTCATGATATTTGGTATGTACTCTTTGTTCCAGGACCATATTCATTGGTGGTTTCTTTTCAATTCGATTTTTGTTTTCAACTCAGGCATTTATTGTCTCCCAAGAGCTTGACACTGTGTTAGGCACTGGGAATACAAAGATAAAAAGGAAGTAGTCCCGGTCCTGGAGGAGCTCATTGTATTCTACAGTGAATTCCTAAACGGAGTTATCATTGGTATACATATGGCTACTTTTGAACAAGAATTGTTCTCCCTTGCTTTATACTCAACATCACTTTCCCAGAGTAACTCATAATGAACCTTTTTAATGATGACACCAATGAACATGATGATGTTCACTGCAGTATTGCCATAGGACCTTAGTTATTCAAACTTTCTCCCTCCTCAAATCTTTATCTATACCTGTATATACACATATATGTAGACATACAATGTGTACATCTATGTAAAATATATAGCATATTATATATATATGTGTGTTATACATATGGATATTCATATATGTGTATACACACATTGAAAGAATCTTCTTGAGAGCAGGGACCTTTTCATTTTGTCTGTGTGTCCCTTTACCCTCTTTATGGCTCTTCTTTATATGTTGTCATCCTCCATTAGAATTTAAGCTCCTTGAAGGGAAGGTCTGTTTTGCTTTTTCATTTGCAACACTAGTGCTCAGCACAATGCCCAAGCCATAGTAAGCATTTAATAAATGTTCTTATTCTCCCCCCAATTCCTTCCTCTCCTTCCTTCCATCCCTTTCTTTCTTTCTCCCTCTCCCCTCTCCCCCATCCCCCCTCTCTCTGTCTCTGTCTCTGGCTTTCTGTCTCTATCTCTCCCATCCCTTCCTTCCTCCTTTCTTCCCCCTCTCTTCCCCAACTTTTTCTTCTTTCCCTCCATCTATTAAATGTGTGTTGGATTGAATTGCTTTAGTGTCACTTCAGTTCAAATAAATTTGTCAGGATCCAATAGACTCATGGGAATGAAAGCAAGCTTTCTTAACTTGGAAAATTACCTTACCTAATTTCTAGTCGAAAACATTTCTTCAAATTACAGCACAAAAGTGATGACCATGATATGTCTGAGCTATTAAAGAGACTAAAATGGAAAGGGAAGAAGGAAGTTTTGCACATGAGCAAGAATGACTCATAGTTTGTAAGAATTACAGAAGAAACTCTTCGATTTCACAGAATGTTAGTTGGAAGGAACCTTACAGAACATTTAGTCCAGACTCCTCGTTTCATGAATGAGGAGATGCTGGCCCCAGGAACAAAGTGACTTCCTCAAGTTCACTAAGCAGTAAATTGAACTGTAACTTGGGTCTTTTAATTGAAGCCAGGGCTTTTTTCACTGCTATGCTAAAAAATTCAATTATTTGAGTGTGGAAAGACACATCAAGGGGATACATCTGGATTTTTAAGTCAATAAAAAAGTATTGATTGAGTACCAACTGAATATAGAGGACTAGCCTAGCACTAGAAGGGGCTACAAAAAAAGATCCAAAAACCAAAAACAAATAACAAATCCCACTTTTTTCTTTACAGAGCTCTGAAACAGGGTGCAAAAATACATGATGTTCATGTTAGTGGGACCTACAAAACCATTTTGACATCAGGGAGGCCTGGTTTGGAGACTGAGATGGCAGCTTGTCTTCCCCATGCCCTGACTCTTGACCTCATATCCCAGCTCTTGACTTCTTAGAGGAGACAGCTTGAAGCAGTGAACAAAATATTTAATCTGGAGTCAGCTCCTGTTTCTCAGCCTGCTAGCTGTGTGACCTTGGACAAGTCACGAACTTCTCTGCCCCTCAGCTTTCTCAACATAAAATGAGCTATCTCCTACCTCCCCAGGTTGTTGTAAGGAAAGTGCTTTGTAAAGTCTAAAATACTAGATAAATCTAGCATTTTATGCTATGATTATTAGTTGACCTCCTGCATTGTGAATGGCTAATATTCCTTATGAGATGATTTGGGGATGTGATTTTGATAAAAGTACTTGAAAAGCTAATAGGAGAGTGAGTATGGGTTATTGCTAAGAAGAAAAAGCTGGGCTATTGCTCCAAAAGTTATTTCACATTCAATTTCTCAGGTTTGGGATTCTTCAGTTAATAGGCATTTGTGCCCAAATCTCCTATTAGTCCTGCTTTTCTTCCTGTTGCACTGGGGCAAAGATTTTTCATTTCATACATCATTTACAACCTGCTGCAGTGATTCCACCAAGGCATAAGTCATTAGCCTGCCAAAGCATTTTTTTTTCTAAAGAGGAGAGAAAGAACTTATTATAGGCTTATTTTTATTCCCTTTGGTTCCTGAAAAATTAAAAGTCACATAGGGGTTTGAGTGTTGTTGCCACTGTGTTTATATATCACAAGAAATTCAAAGAACAATAGGAGTTACACACGATAACCATCCCTGGAGATTGAGTTTTTCACACCTGCCTAGAGTATGCTGAACAGCTCCTGGAATTAATGACTTGGCTGCTACCAAATGCTTGAGGTACACTCAGGCAGAACTCTGTCTCCTTAGAGCCACATGTTCACTTACATCCACCCCACGATGCACCTGTTGAGCTCTGTGTGGATGCACCTGGAACATCTATGTAGGATATACCCAATGGAATATAGCAGATCTGCCCTTATCTTCACTGACTGCAATGGAATGCTAATATAGAAAACCAATAGGACAGAGTGGGAAGCTGGATGTCTCTCCCAGAGAAATCTTCTCTAAGGTGTGGGGAAGATTAGGCAAGGTAGGGGCTTAGCATCACGTATAAGTGGAGTAGGTAGCCACCTAGGAGATACTCCACTTAGTGTAGTATAGTGTGGAATCCAGGTGTTCTTGACTTATTTCCATCACTCTAATCATTAATCATTCTGCCTCTCCAATGAACTGAGGCTCAAAGGCGTAGGCACGACATTCATAGCTAGAATTTATATAGTGCCTTAAGGCTTGCAAAATGCTTTATAAATATTACCTTATTAGATCCTTTCTCCCCCCTCCCCAAGCAATCCTGGGAAATAGGTACTATTATCATCCCACTATATATATGACTCTAGGTTTGAACTCAGGTTTTCCTGATTCCAGGTCTAGCACTCTTTTAAATCAATCAGCCATTCAATCAATATAGATCTTTTAAGTGTCTACTCTGTGCCAGGATGCCTGACATTCACGAAGAACTTAACTAGTTTAAGGCACTATTCTAGGCACTGACACACACATACAACACATATGATAGATCTCTCGCTCTGTCTCCATCTCTGTTTCTCTCTGTCTCTGTCTCTCTGTCCCTCTCTCTGTGTCTCTGTCCCTGTAAAGGACACTTTATTCTGGAGAGGCTTGCAGTCTAATAGGCTGGAAGGAAAACTGCTTTTTGTTCCCACATAGAGTGGTTATAAAACTAAAAAAGCGATGTCTAAGCAAAAGATAAAAATTAAAGGAGAAAGCGATTACTCTCACCCACTACTCCTCCAAAGTACCTCCCTGAATCACATTCCAGGTGTCTGAAATCCCCCCTTAATTAGATTTGGGTCAAGGCACTTCTGGGTTAAGGATTTACATTACCTAGAAGGCATAGCACATCAGTCACCATACTTACGAAGAAGAGTTTATGTGATTGATCAGTTACTACAATTTGTCGCCTAGGAGACAGCAGGACCCAAAAGCAGTGGCAACATGACAGCTAAATTCTGATAGGAACAGACATTCCCTTTGGCTTTGAACCAAAAGATTCAGTCTAACAAACATTTGTTAATCCTTTAGCACGTGCAGAACGTGAACTTTGGTGCTGGGATATATAGAACATTAATATAGGAAGAAAACTCTTATCTAGTATGGGAGGGTGATCTATACACATAACTATAATACAGCATAAGACCTAAGTGTCCAAGAGAAATGCAAACAAAATGTTATACAAGGTCCAGGGGGTAAAAGTCATTACTGCCTTGGGGTTAGGGGGATTTGTAGCAATTTGTAGCATCTGAGTTGGGCTTTTAAAGAATGGGTAGAAATTTAAAGAGCAAAAGGTCAGTGTGGGATATTCCAGGCATAAGAAACTGTATAAGCAGAGGCAGGGAAGTAGCAGAGTGTGTGTGTGGGGACATTTATATAGCATAAGAAGTAGCCTGCTCTGCAATATGGAATATGTGGAAGAGAATAATCTGAGATAATGATGCAAAGGTAGGATGGTGCCAGATTGTGGAGGTCTTTGAATGTCAGGCAGCTTCACTTAGTTCAACAATTCAACAAGCATTTTTCAATGGCTGGTGATTGGGAACCATTTAAAGGTTTTGAACAGAGGAGTGACATGGCTAGATCTCATTGATTTAAATCCTGGCTGACAAATGGAAGGTGTTCAAGGGTAGAGGGCTCTGCCTGTCATCCTCTGAGGCAGCAGGACAGCCTTGGCAGTCCCAGGGTTATGCATCTCAATTAGCAAAGATATGCTCTCTCAAGCAGATTGCTAATGTGATTGGTAAGAAAGACTGCTGTGCATCTGCCTGGGACACAGACCTCTTTCCTCTCCAAAGGCTTCAGAGGTTTGGGCTGTGTTACAGAAGGGGGGGGGTGGACTCCTGAAGGGCACAGAAGCAGAAGGGGGGTGGCAGGCTGCCCCTTGGATTACCTTTGAGAGCTGTAGGGAATGGTAGTTGTTTGTACCACATTTCTGCTAGTGTATTAAGGTGTGTCTTGTATTGAACTGGCATACACACACACATACACACACACACACACACACATACTGGTATATATATTGATCATTCAACCAATAAGTGTTTATAAAAGCCAACTATGTGTCTGCCATTTTGTTAGGTGCTAGGAATACAATGACAGAAATGAAATACTCCTTCCTTCAAAGGAGCTTGTGTAGTATCAAGGAAGAAAATACTTGTGTGTGCGTATGTGTGTGTATATATATATATATATATATATATATATATATATATATATACATACATGTACAGTGTATATAAGTATATGTACTTATGCATAAGTATTTAAGTATATATATATAATAAATACAAAATAAATATGACATCATTTAGGGAGGGAGGAGAGACTAATATTTGTTGTTGTTGGGAATTAGGAAAGCCTTCTTACAGAAAATGAGCTGAATATTGAAGGAAGTAAAGGATCCCATGAGGAGGGAATACTTTGCAGGCGTGGGGTAAATGAGGCAGTCAGTACAGAGGGAGGAAGTAAGGAGATGGAGCACCGAGTGTATGGATCAGATCAAAGGTCAGTTTAACTAGACTGTAAGGTGTGGGAAGGAAAGACTGGGAAGGATGGTAGAAGCCAGGTTGTGACAGGCTTAAAAGTCAAACAGAGGAGTCTATAGAGGCAATATGAAACTCTAGTTAGTTTATTAAGGAGTGACATGGTCAGAGCTGCACTTAGTGAAAATCACTTTGACAGCTCTGTAGAGGATAGATTGTAGTGGGGAGAGATTTGAAGCAGGCAGATTGAAGGGACCTTTGTGATAGCCTAGGCAAGAGAAGATGAAGGTTAAAATTAGGGTGGTGGCTATTTGAGTAGTGAGAAAGGGCTAGGGCAGAGAAGAGGAACAGCTGGTGGGAAAGAGCCTGTCTTGAGAGGAGTGGAGTCAGTGCAGGAAAGAGATCAGTTGAGCAATGGAGAGAACAGGGCAACTGTAGTTCTAATGGTACTGGGCCTGGGTCTTTTTCTTCTTGTGTTGTCTCTTGTGTTATGATGGGTTTCTATACAAGTATATTTCTCAGAACCAAGTTGTGGCTTATACTTCTGCACAGTACAAACCAGAATTAGAATAAGCCAATTTGTAATTTCCTCTGCCTTCAAAAAACTACAGATGTATCAATCTGAGTAAGCACTTGGATGACTATGCAAGTCAGTTTTGTATATTAGACTGTCAGTTTCCAGGAATTCTTGAGCTTGAGGGGGAACAATATTCCTTAGTTTCTCACTTCTTCTCCTACTATCTATCAGTAACAGGATATCCTAGAGCAAGGTTCATCTTGGTTACATGCTCTGTGCATCCCTTGAAGTACAGTTAGAATCAAACATAATGTGTCAGGATGTGCTCCTCAGGCCAGGAAGTTCTTCAGCAGGAAGCTACTTCTGTCAACGATGTCAAGGGATTGTGGTATAATTCACAGCCTCCAGGAACTCTGAAAACATTGTCCTGGATCACCAGGGAAAAGGATCAAACAAATGAGGTTCTCCATTGGGACAGCGAGAAACAGAACATGATGCTTTGTGAAAGTGACACAAACTATGAGGTGGATTAGGTGAGAGGCAAATCCCTTTGTCCGGTGGTACCCATGGTGACACTTCTATGTGCATTGTCTTGGAGGAGACTTTTTCTTCATTTTCCAAAGGGTAGTTCATTAGCTCTTAGAAATGAGAATTAGGGCATGTAGGAATGATGATACACAGGTCCCTCCCCTTTTTTTTGGAAAAAAAAAACCAGAAGAGCTGAAACACTAGAATAGATGCGTGGTAGATTTTTTTTTAAAAAGAACATTCTTTAACTGACGAAATATTTATGATGACATGTTGCCTAGCAATGGCCATCAGACCTTCCTGAATATGCAGGAGGGAAATTCAGTGGGGCTGCTTCCCTCTGAGAGACAGAAAAAGGGAAAAAAACCCCAGCTTAGTGAGTACATCCTCCTCCTCTTCTTCCTTCATGAAATTCTGACTAGGTTTGGGGAAAAAATGTTTTACTTGGTGAGCTGGTTGTGTTGGCCAGAATAATTTAACAGCCAAGTGGAAGCAGAACTGGTGGAGGACTTTAAAGAGATAAAAGCAGACAGATTGTCAGAAAGCACTTATCTGTCATGTACCAAAATGGTTTATTTTTTGTCACTGTCTACTGATGTGTGTCCTGACAACGGTGTCCTTGTTTCTCCTCTTTTCCCTGCCCATCTCATGCTGTCAGACTGCCAGGGTTGATGAAAACGAACTAGGCCCATGAAACTGGGTTCCTAG